CAGTTTCATAAAGCTATCACAAATAGTTCTAGAGATATAAATAAAATATAATAATAATACAATAGGTACAGTAACAATAACTATAAACCCATTATTTTTATTTTCGTTTTATTTTGATCCAATAAACTTATTTATGGATTCTTTGTTCTTAGAGTACTTCCGGGACACCTTGTATAGGCCTAAGAGTGCGATTCGATATAAAGCAAAATAATTCCATCAGTAAGATTTGACATCAGTGCCAACATTAGGCGTCACAATATTTGTTATTGGCAAACTGTAATGTCACCATTGTTGTATTTGACAATGAGCAGCTACGGCGCAACCCGAGGCTATGGTTAACAAGAATGTCGGAATGGAAAGTCTGGGCAATAATAGCCATCATTCGGGGAGAGTATTAAACGAAACTACAACAAAGGTCAAAAATACACGTTTAACTTAGTATAAATACAAGGTGTACAATGCAGTTGTATGCTTGCAATATTTAGCTTAGCTAGTATATTGTATATTAATCCAATACTTTTCCAACGTCAATGCTTCATATGGTTAACGTAAATAAAATGAATACTTTCAGTACCACATGCCAATGATAAATCTAGTTCACGTAAATGAGATGTATGCTCACAGTATCCAAAGTCAATTTACGTCTGCTTCACAAATGGAATGTCTACTTGCAGTATCACAAGCCAATGATTAATCTAGTTCACGTAAATGAGATGTATCCTTACAGTATCTTGGGTCAATTGTACGTCTGCTTCACAAGTGGGATGTCTACTTGCAGTATCCAAAGTCAATGATAAACCTAGTTCACGTAAATGAGATGTATCTTTACAGTATCCAAAGTCAATTGTACGTCTGCTTCTCAAATGGAATGTCTACTTGCAGTATCCAAAGTCAATGGTATCTTTGGTTCACATTTAAATGGAATGTCTATATGCAGTATCCAAAGTCAATGGTATAGGTATTTTGGTTCACATACATGGATTGATTATTTGGAGTATCTAAAGTCATTTGGTGTATTAGCCTAATTCCAGCAACCCTAATTAGTTATTAATTTTGTAGTAAATTATGTTCAATGATATACATCCGATTGTTCCCTTATGTTCTGTATTTGTGTGCTAGTTTTTTAGATGATTCGTTGACTACATAATTGTGTGACGACTCTTTTGTTTACCTTTTTATTGCTATTTTGCAAATAATATCATGGCGAATAATAAACCCATAAGGCTCATGTTAAGTTTCTAACAATTTTAATTCATGCAGAGAAAAACCCTTTAGTCTGATTTGTACATTAAAGATTTATACCTTCCCATAGTTGGTTAATATCATAATGTTAATATGATTGTTGATTTCGTGCGGATCGCTTCAGCCGTTCCCGAAGGAGTATGTGGAAAACAAAAGCAAGAGTGTTGTACAGTAGTGTAAGAGAATGAGACGTAGTTATTATTATATCCTGTACATACAATCAGCTGATAATGAATTAAATGTTCTTTGTTTATTATGAATGAAAAACAAACAAAATAAGACTTCAGTAAGAGTTACTACATCTTTACATTATGAACCTTGTTAAACTTGTTAATAAATAACTGTTCTTAAAGTTGGTGTTTAATATACAATAGTTATTAAATACTTAGCACAACAAACAGGTCCTGTAGTAAACGCAATGTTTGCATCACACGACCGATGTTACATTGAGAAGTGTCGAGAGTGTATAGTGCAGTACTAAGTTTGGGAGGTCTACTACAGTATTGAGTGTTTGCGAAGAAGTGAGAGTCGCCTGGTTATCAGATTTTCCATAATAGGCTTTCTAATAATTCTTCGTCTTCAGAAAGACTTAATTGCTCAATCATTAGGAACGTCCCACAGTGTTAGTGACAGTGTTGACATGTGTCATATGTCTGGTCTCAAACTGCGTAGATCCCACGTTGTTGCCACACCTAGCGCGCTGACATGATCATGTTGACAATTAAACAAGGAAAAGCTTGATACGACAAACTATAAAGTTAAAATGCCACGTGTCACTGTCCTCCCCCCCCTGGGCACCCTGGTGTAAATAAAATCAACCAAATGAAAATTCACTTAGTCTGAAGGTTTGCTGCGGTGTGGGTATATATTGTTGAAAAATTTTAATTTTCTGGTATTAAAGTACCGTACGTAAAATCTCATTTTTCTGTTATGGATGCAAGGGGTTCAGTTTCTGACTGGCTTTTCAATAAATTATAATTTTAAAATTGTTTCGTGATTGGGTGCTTCTGTTTTCGCCATCATAGTTATGACGATAGATTTGCATTAGTCTAGAAAATTGGTTTAGAAACGTTAATAGCTTCAAATAAACGACTGAGCCTTATAGGGTTTATATGTTAGTGAGGAGTAAGAATCCGGGTCTTACAAAAATTTGGTTTGCTGTAATATGCAATGAGGGTAAAATTCCAGGTACCTAAGTAGAAATTGGTTTGCTTGCCCGGGGGTATATTTTTACAGTGAAGTAAAATTGCAGGGGATGGCACAAATTGGTTTGCTGGCCCGTGGTGAATTTCTATGGGGGTGAAATTTTGTGGTGCGAAGTTCCAGCTTGTAAATCTCTTGTTATTTATTTTATATTTGATTTGATTTTTTCGATTAAACTCACAATAATGACAAGATAGTTTTAATTCCATCGTTAATTTATTCGAGACATATTGTGTAACTCAATTGTTCACGAGTGGAATTCAGCGAACTTTCGAGTTGCACAAGATCAGTTCAATAAATTAAAGGTGGAATTAAACGTATATTTTCACGGTTGTGAATTTAATCAGAAGAAATCAAATTATAAAATTTAGAGTGTACAGGCCGGAATTCTACCCCCGGAACTTTACCCCATTGCCAGATATAGAAATTAGCGATAATAATTAATTTTCTCCTTTCTGTTTTAATGTAATAGTAAACATGTTATTATTAAGATAGCCTATCTTAATTGATTTGTAACCTCAACTAATGAAACAGGTTTTGCATTTTAATTTTGAGATTTGAGTTTCGGGATTTGGTTTTGGGGGCCAACTATTGGTTAATATGTATGTAAACAAACCGAGTAGCCGATGTGAATGGTAATTGTTTCGAATATTTGTTTAACGATTTACTATACGACCGTGGAAAAACAATTTTCCCTCGTTTGTATTGTAACAATAACAAAATATGCCGTGTTGTTACTTTGTGCACAAACCATGAGCTATTGACAGTTTGTACTTAAACAGGTCATCAAAAGACATGTTGTAAAATGTAGTTAGTTGTAGGCATCCGGTACAAAGTATTCCACCAATTGTTGTGTTGACTACTCTAAGGAAACCTATGTTTTGTGCCTGAAGAAACAAAAAGACATATTGTACAATAACAACAGAAACGAATAAATTGTTTTTCAACGGCCGTATGATAAATCGTTTGGGAAATGTTCACCCAATTATCATTCAAATGGGCTACTCAGTTTGTTTACATACATATTAACTAACAGTTGGCCCCAAAAGTCGAATCCAAACTTGAATATGAAAATTAAACAGTGAAACCTGTTTACTTCGTTGAGGATACAAATAAGAAGCTTGTCATTCACTAATCTAGTTTGATTGAAGCACAATTGTTTTATTTTTTAATTTTAGACGTAAATATATAATTTTGTTTTGACATAACTAATGCAAATCTGTATTTATTTGTTACTTTGGTCGAATAAAGGAGTTGTTGAGCTATTGAGCGGAGCGAAGGGAAGCTCACACTCCTGCTTGTGTTTTACCAATACTCCTCCTGAACGGCTGAAGCGATCTGTCCGAAATTTAGCACAGTCGTAGTAACCAACCATGGGAAGGTATAAATCTGAAATGGTATAAATCAAACCACAGGTCTTTTCCCTAAGTGAATTTAAACTTTTGGAAATTTAATATGGGCCTTATGAGTTATTTGGTTGCCATGACATTATTTGCGAAATAACAATAAAAAGGTAAACAAGTGCCACATCATAAAAATGTTAGTCAACAAATCATATAAATAGCACATTAAAAATACCCTACAGAGAAAAAGGGGAGAACAATCGGAGTAATATCATTAAGCCTAATTTACTACAAAATTAATAACCAATAATTATGGTCGCCGGAATAAGGCTATGATGCACCATTGTTTAAATAATCCAAGAAGTCATTCCATTTATGTGAACCAAATCTAGGCCTACTAATTAATTGAGTTTGGATACTGCACGTATGCTTTCCATTTATGTGAACTCGACGTACCATTCAATAATGCAGACTTCGAACAGGTACTGCAATTAGGAATTCCATTAATGTTAACCAAAGATACCTGAGTTTGTATACTTCAAGCAGACATTCCATTGACGTGAACCATACATACCATTGACTTTGGATACTGCAAATAGGCACCCCATTTATGTTAATCAAATAAACCATTGCTTTGGATCCTGCAAGTAGAGTCAATTAATTTACGTGAACCAAATATACCATTGACATTGGATACTGCAAGTATTTAATCTCATTTACGAAGAACAGATGTAGCATTGTCTTTAGAATAGTATTGGATACGCTATCTTCGCTCAATATTGCAAGCCGACAATTACTGCATTGTACTCCTAGTTTGTAATTAATAAATTAAGATAGGCTACAGGCTACTTAATAATAAAATGTTTACTATTCAATCAAAACTGAAATTGCAAAATTAATTAATCTCACTAAGTTCTTTATCTGCACAGGGGGTAAAATTCCGGGTTTATTTGCTAATTTAATTTATCACGCTCTGTCTATTTTCATTAGACTTCCAAATCCGCGGGGGTAAAATTTCGCCGGCGAACAAACTTGAGCGCTCATGTTACCATGTCATAGAGACGTCAGCTTTTCCCAGGGGGTAAAATTCCGGCGACCCTGTGAGGCAGCTCAGCTGTTTGAGCTGGATCATAACACGTGAGCGCGGCTAGCTTGTTGTACTGGTCACGTGATGCCCTGGTGGCCGACCAATCAGCTGTTTGTTGTTGTGTAGTCGCTGGGACCACGCCGCGCCGCGCTGTGCAGCCGCAGTGTGCAGACGATCCAAGACCAAGACCAGTTCCGCGTTCTGTCCGGCCTTGGGACCATGGACTCAGCCGAGGAGCTGCCGAAATCCGCGACTATTTCTCTCAGAAAACGTCATATTGGGCAAGTACAAAATACAATACTGTACTCTTTATTTAAAATCACTTTCACTTTAGGTTTGCATTGACGCATTGTTGAGGTTATCAACAGTGATCGTAGAGTTGTTAAACTATGTTCGTAAACAAGCGATGTTTTACTGTTTGCTCGGTCGTCGTTACAAAATTTCTTTTAACGAACTTTTATTATCTTATGCCAAAATTTATGTGTTGAAGTTCTCATATTGAGATTAGTCAAAGATCCCAACCTAAAAACAAGCGTAGTAGGTAAGTTAAGGTACTGTGGAGTTTTCCATAGCCACCAACACTTTTGCAAAATAAATTACGAATCGAGTAAAGTGCTAAAATATATCTCTATAATTGTCTTAATCAAAGTCTACTAGAAATATGCAAATATTAATTTAGACGTTTTGCCGTTTATTAATTGTGTATGCCTAATGCCTAACGGCAAAGTCCACAATCTGAACTTCTAATGAAATAAAATTATGATATTATTTATTCATCTAAGCAAAGTTACTACTGTACTGCAAACTTGCTGCTGTATAAATACATCGATAAACGCTTCAGAAACCTTTCGCTGTATAAGATAATTCCATCACATTTACTCACCAATTTAAATGCAGATCGCTAGGCCGATCTATTTTAACTATGGGTTTATTTTCAATAAACAATCTATTCAATAACTTTGACGATAATTTCAGGCAAATGGTGAAGTTCTATATTGTTGTTTATCAGCCATACGACATATGATAGTGAAACTGACTTGCTTCTGTCTGTAGGTAAACGTTCGGTAATCAATCACCTTTGTCCCCTACATTTGAATAGTGTCTGATAATGTCAATGTCTCGTTGTGGCCCTAGTCTGTTTTGTCAATGATGATTCCTTATATTCACCGTGGTACTAAACCAAACCAAACAAAAGTATACCTACTAAGTAAAATATGTTGAAGAAACAATTCATTTAACGCGATTTTGTTTACAGACAATACAAAAAATTTACACATGTTGTTCAGTATTTGTGTTGGATGAGGTATTTTTTTTTTTTTTTTTTTTTTTTTTTTTTTTTTTTAGTTCTAGGCCACTTAGAGTGCTTGTAATGTGAAGCGGAATAGCTAGATATGCGAAGTAGACGGATTGAAACATTAACCAAATGTGAATGTGTCCCCCACAATGAGTTTGTTTGGCTACATATACACTATCCACCCTATTTCATACGCTGTGTTGGAGAAGGTCACAAAGTGCGTTCAACTTTAGAATGAGTCTCTTTAATCCGTGGTTTTACTTATCGTCTAATACAAATATACACAACTGTTATCGAAACAATTCTAGCACAGCACAGTAGTTAGATCTGAACATCAGCTCCTGTGTACACTCACTGTTATTTAAATAAGGTATTTGGAAATCAATCTGATTCCTTGCTTGGTAGTGTTTTACCTGAGGAAGTAACGTAGGTAACGGGTATTCCAAATATACCTACAACCGTTACAGTGGGTGCTTCAGGTCAAATACTCACAACCGATCTATTAGCGAATTTCCCTACAGGGAAGTAGCTATTACCGTAGGTGGCACGGTAAGACCTAGGCCCAGAACCGATTTACTTTTCCATTTTGATTTATATATATTTATTAAATACGTCCGTGAACGCGATAACTTGAGTAAGTTTTGTCGGATTTTGATGAAATTTGGTTTAAATGTGTAAGGACTTAAATAATAAACTTAAACGAGTTAGCGAAACAGCATGATCGGATCATGGGAACGGGATTTTACGGGGGGTTTTATGGGGGTAAAAATGGGGTTTCTCATTTTTAACCCTCAAAACAAAATTTTCCCAACTACTCTCTAAACATTTTTAAATAGCTAAAATACAAATAATTTAGTACAGGTAGCCTATATTAAAGTGTTTTTATACGGTTATTGGTAACGGAGAAAATTCAAAATATTGTAAATTTAAAATTCCTATGTTATTCTTATGGAGAATTTTGTAAAATTTGCTTGTATATGGATATATTGTGATCAAACTTAGCAAATTTACTTATTTCATACTAAGCTATTAATATTTTACAAAAAACACACTTTATTAGTTTCCTTGTAGCAGCGGTAGCAGCAAACCTAGATACTCGTTAAAAATAGATTTGATTACAAATCAATTCAGACAAATAAAAATTCCCTTAGTCGGCAGGTTTGCTGCGGCGAGGGTATATTAACGTTTAATGCGGTTGAGCTTAATTTAAAATCTGCAATGAAGAGCAATCCACTTAACTCTGAGAATACCTGTATCAATTTATATCCAATAAATGTATATCCTAAAATATATCCTATTTACACACATTTCTGTATTCAGATTATAAAACACAATATGTAGCTTTTCAGTAGGGGCAAGTGTTACAATACACCTAATAAATAACTATTAATGCAGTTTGAATAAGACTATTTATTCATAGTTCTTGAGATTGTTAGCTTTTTCACGCTTTGTCCCCCCCCCCCCACTCTTTTATACTATATAGAACTACGAAAAACAAAAGGTAGTACTGTACAAACAATGGAAGAAAAATTAAGTTTTGGTTGATTTCGTTCCGAATATAAATACACGTCGTCTAACATTTGTTATGTAGTAGCAGTTATACCTTAAGCATTCGCAAGACGAAATGTTATTTTGTAGTCACAGATCACGAATGGATAATTTAAACATAAAAATGACGCCACTGGCCTGAATCTCATAATAATGACATTAATATGTGGCTTGACGTTTTTTGACTCTTCCATTTATATAATACCCCCGCCGCAGCAAACCTGCCGACTAAGCGAATTTCCATTTGCCTGATTGGATTTACACTAAAATGTCTCCTTAAAAATATCACATTTATTCCCTATTTAAATAGAATCAGTTTAACATATACTTAGGTTTGCTGCAACAGGGAGGGTAAAAGTGTTTTTTATGGAAATTGTCAATAGTTAGTAAGAAATTAAAACATTTTCCAAATTTGGGCAAAATATGTTAATAAACAAGCAAACTACAACAGTTTACTTATTCTCCATAAGAATAACATGGGAATTTTAAATTTACATTTTTTTGGAATTTTCTCCGTAAACATTAGGAGCATTATAACGCTTCAATATATTAAATTATTTGTTTTTTTAAGCTCTACAAAATAGTTTGGAAAGAAATTGCAAAATTCTATGTTTTTTTGGGTCAAAAATGGGAAAAGTTAAAATTGAGTAATCTACATATAAAAATAGCCGCTGCCACAAGGTTTTTTACCAAGCATTTGTCCTAACATTTCGCTCGACATTATTTTCCACTAGCAGAGTACCCGAACTTCGTACGGGGTCGGCATATAAGTATAAAACGCTTATTGCAGTTATACTCGAGCTTTGCATTTGCATTTGCAATGGGGGAGGACACAGTTTGATAAAATTTGCTTATTTAAATTTACGTTATACCATAGTATTACATATCTACCATAGTCATACTGTTCTACCACTTCACCTAAACAATAGAGAAGAATAAATTATTAAAAGTTTGCAAAATATCACAAATTATTCATGAAATTAAAAACATAAACATAACTGTAAACAATCCTACTTTGACAGTTCTCATTGCGTATCACAGTTTTTGTTGCTGCTTGCTGTAGTTATGGTAAATGCAAAACAAATAATAGTGCTGCACCCTGTTGGTAAATCTTATAACTTTTTAATGCTTTTTATATGATAGAACCAACTTTTTTAGTTGAAACAGCTGACAAAATTCTTTAATTCCCTTTAAATATGAATACTCATAAGGTTAATATGGGAAACTGCAGAGCCACTGGGGCGGAGCCCGAAAGGATTTTTCAGGGGGAAATATGCCTATATGTTAATCGGGAATGTGAGCTATCATCATGCAAAATTTCAGCTCAATCCGTCCAGTCGTTAATGCGTGATTGAACTTCAAACAAACAAACAAACAAACAAACAAACAAACAAACAAACACACACACACACAAACTTTCACATTTATAATATTTAATCCAAATAGTTTGTAATTGTTGTTTTCCTTCTTTTTGTTGTAACCTACATCGGCATTAGGTCTAGTTCACCTCAACTTTCTTTTTTAAACACCCTTCTATTTTACATGATAGGTTGGTGTACATACCAAACCTTAAGCCAAACTCATGGCCTTAAGCTCTGAACCAGTAATCATGGCATAATGAGAAGGGATTTGAAAACAAAGCTTCGATAATTAAGCATGTAATTCAACTGCCAATAGGTACCATTAGTCGTCATTACTTATTCAAGCTGTACTCCTTTATTCCTATGTTATTCCTATTGCTTCCGGTAATTTCTATTCACAAGGGAAAGGAAAGAGTGCTTCAATATTACAAGCATCTTAATGACTATACATGGTATGTCAAAAGATTATGCACAAAGAGGGACAATGTGTCTTCAGAACGTTTATCCTTTTAGCGAATTTCCCATATAGGGAATAAGCTATTACCGTAGGTCTCATGGTAAGACCTAGACCCGGGACCGATTTTCTTTTTCGTTTTGAGGTCCCCAGAGGCCAAAAACACCATCCGTTCAAATTCATATATATATATATATTTATATATATATATATATTTATATATATATATATATTTATATATGTGTCCGTTAGCGCGATAACTCGAGCAAAATTGATCCGATTTTGATGAAATTTGGTACAAACGTGTAAACCTACATTTATTCGAACGAGTTCGCGAACCAGCATAATCGGACCATGGGATCAGGGGCTTATGGGGGGTTTTATGGGGTAAAAATGGGTTTTTCTCATTTTTGACCCTAAAAACTTAAAATTTCTAAATTTCTCTCTAGACCAATTTGAAGAGCTTAAAAAAACAAATAATTTGGTATATTGAAGTGTTTTTGAATGTTCATTGACTACGGAGAAAATTTAAAATTCCCATGTTATTCTTATGGAGAATAAATAAACTGTTCTAGTTTGCTTGTTTATGGATATATTTTAATCAAATTTGGCAATTTGGTTTATTTCA